GAGGGAGGGAGGGAGGGAGGGAGGGAGGGAGGGGAGATATTCTGGTGATCCCTAACTCCCCAGGGCATCATGTCTGGAAATCTCCCTTTATAAGCGGTTGGGGTAACTGGAAAGGAACAAAGGATGTCTTAGTTTGGTTCTAGAGCCAGAAGCAATTCCATTTGAAGACACTGGCCAAGTCACCCGTGGATCTCTGAGCTGTCCTTATGAGTACCATGGAAATTAGGAAATCTGGATGTATTGGGATAGTGGCATACTCACTGGTACCTTAAGGACTTAGTAGACTGAAATATCCCATACTTGAGGTCACCCTCTCTCCTTCTTAAGAAGGTCCTATAGAGCCAGAGGTGTCAGTACCTTCTTAACTGTGCCCAATGCTGATGCCATCTCTCAACTGAGTAGCCTGATTTTGGTGATAATACAGGTGTGTTGACAGATCTGAGGGAGAACTGCCTGATCAAAGTCCAAAGTCAACAGAGCCACTTTTAGTGACTGGGCTTCTGCTGCATGTCATGAAGGACCGGGATCCACGGCATAAATGAGCCTGCCTTCTCTCTGGACATTAGAACTTTCTCTAACATGACCTTGGCCTTTGGACTCTATCTGCTCTCTTTACAGCACACAGGTCTTAACAGAGATGTTTAGAAGCCTTTTCCTGGGCTATAAAAAAACCTGAGAAATGAAAATTCATTGCAGGATTTGCATGGATGGATTTGCATGGAACACTTAAAAGAAAATATTCCTGGAAAAAGTCTTTCTCCCCTTACCAGTGGCAACAGAAATGACTTGTCTGCCCCTTGCTCTCCGATACTGACCGATCTGGAGCATTTCTGATGGTGCTTTTTAGATTGAAATTCTATCTTGGGAGTTAAGATGACCAAGATGAAAGAAATTTGGCAGAGGTGATGTTGGCTCCCAGCTCCAAATCCTGGGAGCTGTTAGAGAGACCGGTATGGCTTTACCAGCTCTGTGCCCACAGTATACCCATTTGGCACAAGTGTTGCAGTGATCTCTGTGTGCTGGCACTTGGTAGCCTCTGTGATGCATTTTTGTCTTGAAGTCAACATGAATATAAACTGAGTTTTTAAAGGAACCCTTGAAGTAAGAAGGCCAAAATTTGGCTGACTCTGTAACTAGTAGAGGAAGTGGCTCCAGAGGGCTCTGGAAGGAACAGCTGGACTGTTGGCCATGAGGCCTGCAGCTGCCTTTGTGTGCAGCGTGGTGATGTGAGGGTGAAGGGTTCTATTTTCTCAGCCTGGATGAATTAAGCGCAGTAGCTTACTTAATTTTGCATGTCAAACTCTGAAAATCTCTGTCTGCTCAATACCCAAAAGAGAGTGAGCATTTTCTGACCAGACAGCTGCTTGGGAGTTTAGGCACATTGCTCAGACTGGCTCTACATCCTAAGCCCTGGCCAGTGTAGAGGAAGGATGGTGGGCTCCCAACAAGAAATGCCTTGTTTCTAAGCTTTGATTATTCTAAATGGCCTCTGTTTAGATTCAGAGTCACTCACAGCTTCATGCCCATGGAGGAATCCAGTCCTGCTTGTGACCTTGTGCAATGCCACTTCCGGCTGGAGAGCTTACACAGCTGCTGGGTGGCAGGAAAGTCACTGTCCGGAGTGCAGGATGGCCCTCCAGCTTCAGTGTGCACCGAACTCAGGACTTACACTTCCTGACTTACACACTGGGAGGAACTTTTAGAAAAAGGCCTTTAGAAAGCTGTCAATTGACTGCCTGTGTGGACATGGCCATTCCAGCTTGATCTTATCCTGGCAGCAGCCTGAGTCCTCTCACAGCCTGACTGACGATGAGAAGGCTGCACCAGCCCTCTCCTTGGCAGAGTTGCCTAGCTGGGGAGAGACAGAATTACCATAGTAGTAGTGCGGAGGTGGCTTGTGGGTGAGGGTCATGGGTCCCTGGGGACTCGGCAAGGCTTGACAGCTTGCAGCAGGGTCAGGGGTCAGTAGCCCCAGCCCAGAGACTCTGACATCTGGCCAGGAAGGGTGGGGCCAGCTGGTGAGGAAATGAAGGTCTGTTCTTGGGTCTGGGAGAGGGAAGAAAACACAAATGGTCTGTCTACTTGGAGGGCTGTTCTCCCATCAAGATGAGTTTGGGAGTTACTGGGTAATGACTCTGGTTTCAGCTGCCTGGCACCCACCAATAGCTGCCACCCTGAGCCGGCTGCCTGTTGAGTCCTCAGCATTCAGTCTGGGGAGGGATTCCCTTTGAGTCCCTTCTTATGAATCACTCACAGTTTAGAAAACAGTCTGAAGCTGCCGTGTCAGTGGTTAATCAGTTGGCCCTATGACTTTTAAGCATTCTTGGCAGCAAATGTACTTTCTAATTTGATTTAGAGTTGTGCATGGATCCAGCAGCCATATGTGATTATATTCAAGATCATCGACATTATCTCATTACATCAGAGGACTCATTGAATAGAGCTGAAAACAAGTACACGAGGCAGATTCTAGGGGAGGAGAGGCTGCCTGTAACTAACAAACACAGGATGGAAGCTGGACGTGGGCAGCTCAAGTGAGAGCGGTCCAGACCCACTGGCTGGTAGGGAGTTGGTAGCCAAAGTGGGAACTAGAGGTGGTCACTCTTCCTTTGTCCTTCCTAGAGCTCAGGGGCTTTGCCTAACTGAGTTCGGGGCCCACATAGTTAACTACCTGCAGACAGATGGTGTCTTATGAAAGAACAGAAAATACACTGAATACAATAAATTACAAGACCTTCTCCTAAACCAGGATTTTTTTTTTTTGGAAAGAATTCTAAATAGATGAAAACAAACAATTTGATTTCAACCAAATTGTTGTTTTTTTGTTTTTATCCTGATTTTCACCCGAATTGTCAGTCTCAAAAATAAACACTGATACATTCCCAGAAAATATTTTTCAAATAAAAACTGACTCTGTTAAAGTTTGCCCTGATTCTTTCAAAACTGTGTACAAGACACTGTCAACCAAAGTGACTTGCATATTTTTTTAAATCAACTTGAACATATGCAGCTAAGATGTCATTAACGGCCTGCTGCTGGGTGTTTCTCAGAGAATGACACGAGACCCCAGGCTGCATCTCCAACACAGGGTCTGCAACCCTCAGAGATACTTCCCCAAGCAGTTCAGACTGCACGCACTCAGCCTAGTTGTTCATCTAGGTGCCGTGTGCGTCATTAATACTGAAAAGTGCACCAGGCTCCATCTACGAAAGGCCTCTTCTAACAGTTCCCTTTGTCCAAGAACGCCTACTTCCACAATAGGAACAGTGGATGAAAAATGTTGAATTTTATATTGCTTCTGACGCATTTTCTCCTCTTATTGCTTTCTGAGTTAGACATTACATTTCGCAATATAAATTCACGATCGAGTTTTTAAAGGGAGCTAAATATTTTAATCCAATTAGACAAGTGAACAAAACACTGAATATTACATGCAGTGGAGATAAGTGGTTCTTGCCTTTAAAAGACTGTAATTCCGTCACATTGCAACCCCAAATGTCAATGTTGTCTTCATCTTTAACACTTTCAAACACGAGGCAACCAGAGGCTCCACTCCCTGCTGTTGGTGACACTGTCTGTCCTTTGGGAATTCTTAAAATGTATTTCTCATGGAAATATGATTCCCATAACACAGACACCTGCCCCTGTGCAGAACAAGTACTTAGGACCCAGAAGCCAACACTGACCTAAGGAGGAGCTCTGCTGACGAATGACCTACAAGAGCCCAGCACAGAGCTATCCACAAAATTGCAGCCTCTTCATCCTGCTTTCTTCTTGCTCTGGCTTCTGCAGAGGTGGCAGAGCCAGAGCATCAGTGGAAGGGAAATGTAGCTATCCTCAGAAGCCCAGACAAGTGGCCAGCAAGGAGTCGCTGCTGGTCTATGGTGACTTGTGACTTGCTGTCTTAGTGGTTCCTACCAGAAGCCGTGGCCTGTGCTGGGGAGACTGCTCTAGGATCTGGGGCACTGCTGAATTGTGAGCTTTGTGGACATTACCACCTGCTAAGCTAGGTGTCCTTCATTGCTATAACCCACTGATGTCTACAGCACATAGCCTTTATTTTGTCTAGGCTGATCCATTCTGGGTTGCAGCCCATCTTGCTCTTTATAATGTTGCCGCGCCAGCTTCTCAGTAATTCATGATGTGTCAAAGCAGGCCTTGAGCATCATGGTAGGATCTGTACTTGGAGGTCACATGCCTAGGTTACATCTCAGCTCTTCACTTCAGATATAGGATAGGTCCATGTGGAGCCCAGTCCAGGTGCTACTGAAGTTTACAGTCACTGTCAACATCATGGACCATGGGGCTGTTAGACAGAAGTCACTTCATAGCCTCCCAGAAAGATGGAGGAATATTGCCCAAAGCAGATGTGGTGTGATGGAAAGCAGAGGTCCATGAGTATCCCATAACACCAGAGGGGGAGGCAAGCCACAAAGAGGAGCCTGGGGCCTCAGAACAAGCTTGGAAGGACCACTGGGGAAGTATCCACCTTTTTAAAAGTAGATGCCCACTGCCAGAGGCATAGACAAAGAATGTTTGTGGGCATGGCCTCATAGGATAAAGAGCACAGAGAGAGTCAAAAAGAGTGTTAACTTGGGAGGCTGTAGGACACTGGGGTGAAAGGGCAAAGACCTGTGGGCCAGTCACTTAAGAGACTGGGGTGAGGCAAAGAAATAAATGGAAATGGCAGCCGAGACTACAAACAGAGAATCTGAGGACCCTAAAGCAAAGCCAACTGGACAACAGTTTGGGTCGGCTCACGCAACTTGCTTCCTAAACTCCAAGTCTAAAGTAAATATCAGAAATAAATTAGGCATAAAACCCAAAGTTTTGGGGGAAGGCTGTGATAGGAGTTAAGAGTGACAAGAGGCACGTGGGTCAGGAACATGGGGCTGTAGCCAGGAAAGCAAAGGGATGGCTTTCTATTCCCAGGGCAGTCACAGATGGGGGGGGGGGCACAGCAGGGGTCGAGGTGACAGGTGAGGTGGCAGGAGGGGGAGGTGGCTGTCAAAGGCTCAAGCGGAAGTTCCAAACTAAAAACATTCCCTTGACACACGTCTTCTCTTCTGACTGATGCCACAGAAAGACACAGCAGTAACACCACGACAAGTGGCAGCAGGGACGTCAGATAGTGGCTGGAACTCCCCTTTTATGACTCTGGTGTCCGCAGAGTGCAGGCAGCACTGAAAGGTCCCTCAGTGACAGTGCGGCAGTGCTGCTCTCTCTCAGGCCAGTACTTCCCTTGCTCCAGAGCACAAGGCTTAAAGGAGATGCGACTGGCAGTAAGGAGGCAGTGTCTACCCAAAGTGGAGGCTGGCGCTGGTGGGAGAGGGACAGCCCCTTACCTCCAGGAGCAGGGAACTTCATGTGTTCCTGTTTTGCCTCACACTGTGTCATCACAGGAGGTTGTCCCCAGTCAGAAGAGCAGGCCAGAGTCAACAGGGAGCCCAGTGATGACACGTCACTAGATGACTTTGGAGCCACAAGCACTCAAAAGACTGTGAAATGTATTTCCTGGAGCTGGGTTAATAAAGATCTTGTTGCAAGCTCCACTCTGCCACAGGAGTCTATGCCACTGTCTGCACTCAAGAGGGGATTTTCTGCCCAAGTACATTCATTTTTGTCTTCTGAAATGTCATGGTCTGTGTTGATCCTTGTTCAGTCACCCACTTTCTTGGGTTAAAAGCCCCAATGTCTAGGGACCCAGGATAACAGGCAGCCTATCCTATTTGGCTATACTCGGAGCACTGGGGAGGGCATCGCAGCATGTCACTCTCAGAATCAATATCTGCTTGCTTAGTGAGGCCTGGTGTCAGCTCTAATGGAGACCCTCTGTCCGCTTATTACATTTGATGGCAGGCTTTGGTGTCCCAAGGACCCCTCTAGAACAGAGCTCCCACAAGCTCCAATAAGCTCCTCATCTTTTTAACCTTATGCTATCCTGAAATGATCTTGTCTTCTGCCACAGCCCCACCTGCATTCCCTGTGTGGAAACCACTCTGCTCACCTTAACAGTTAATTAAAATTCACTACCATGGTACTCATACATCTACCTGAAATGCACACAATTTTCTTTTTCCAGGAAGGAAGGGGGGTGTATTTCCAGTATGTCTCACTTGGGCTTCCAACTCAGAAATCCCCAACATGTAATCATGGCTTCCACCAGGCAGCAGAGCTCTGGCCTGGTCTCTAGATCTAGTCATGCAAGGTGGGTGGGCTCTGGCCCGGTGGAAACTGCAGTTCTAGGACTACCACAGACAACCCTCCTCAGACTCACACAGCTCTGTAGCTGGCCGTCTTCCACTAAAGGCACTGCAGAAATAGGGAGACTTTTGATATACTTAGCATAGCGTGAACTTGTGTGCAAAGTCAGAATAGTCATCGGGGAATGGTGTTCAGCACTTTCCCAACCCTTGGCTCTCCCCATACCAGAAAGTGCAAAATCTTAGAAATGAGACCTCATAAGTATCATGGGTCACACCTCCCAACATGTGGGTGGGGTGCCAATATGTAAAAAGGCATTTATATATGTTACAAGAAGCTGCAGGTAACCGAGGCTCCTTTGTGTTAGTCCATATAGACTGGCTGACATTCTAATTTTCCCCTACTTTAAAGCCCATTGTAATGTCAGATCTGTTTCTAACAAATAGTTGGACACATTGTCATAATGTCAACACTTCTTAGGTAAAGGTATACACAGGCCTGGAGTACTGGCTGCTTTCAGAAGAAAAGCATTAGAGGTACACAGCCTGATACTTAAAAACAAAAAGGGCTTTCTTTAGTCTTCAGTGGCAAGGAGTGAGGCACAAATTTTCAATACAGTTGGCTACATATGATTTCCACATTTTAGCAACAAGAACCTTTTCTCCAAAACTTCAGCAATAAGAGCTGACCAAACTAGCAAATGAGAAAACAAATACCCATGATCTATTTAAACTTACTTTTTATTATCATTTTTTTTCCAGTTACCCAGCATGCCACAATCTGATTGCTGACCTGGATGAAACAGAGTGAAATAAATGATTTACAAAGAGATATGTACATTCATCTGATTTGTACTTAATGTGCCACAGTGCACCAAAACCTCCCCAGGGAGACACCACCTGGGACTGCAGGGGGGCTGGTCCTCATGCCATGGTTCTGTCCCTGTGCTACAGACGGGGAGTGCTTCAGCATGAACTGGCTCGGGCTAGTTGGAGTGTGTGCTCAAAACAACTTCAGGTCACTGTCTACTCTAGAGTATGCACGGGATTAATAAAATGACCTCTCTTATTAAAGACTTGAGTTGTTCTGTCTCCTTTTTATCTTGTAGCAGTGACAGACAAAACACACCAAAGGCACAGGTTGTGAGTCAGCCGAAGTGTACTGAAGACCACCTCTCCTGCTGCCACCCACTGTTACTCCCTGTGTGATATGAAGATTATGCACACCTGTAGCCAGCATCCGGTATTTCCCATCCAACTGTGCACTCAGGAAACACGCTGAACAACATAAAACAGCCCCCTCCCCTTTCCCCCCAAAAAGGCATCTTTGGCTCGATGGTGTCAGATTTTAGTCTTCAATAGCAGTTATTTGAGAGGAGCCTAAAAACAAATGTATGTGAAATTAGAAAATTTACTTAACAGTATATCAAATATCTGTACACAGATCATATTTTTAGTCTAAAATAGTATTTCTACTATACAGTCAAGCCCTCAAATGCTTTAAAAGAATACAAACGGACACTGGGAGGTCTGGGGTGTAGCTCAGTGGCAGAACACTTGCCCAATTTGTGTGAGGCCCTGGGTTCCTTCCCCAGCACCACCAAAAAATAAAAAATAAAAAATTTGTGGCTGCTGAGATGATCGTGGTTTTTGAGTGGGATGAAACACTAGGGCAGGGCTGCGTGTGGGACAAGCCTACATTATCTCCTTTCCTAGCCAGCAGCCCAGGGCTCTCAGCAGAGGTGTGGTTTGTACATGCTCAGCCCCTCACCATCGTGCAGCGTAGGCCATGACAATGCACAGGCCGTCCTCATCTCTGGGGCATCAAAGGTGCAAGCCGCAAACAGAGCTTCCATTCTGAGTCACAAGTTTCTGAGTTCATCAGCTGTGCTAGACATAAAGCTGTCACGTATTTTAACTGTCCTTCTGTTTTATGCATACCATGAATAAATTATACAATATTCTAAAAATAGCACCTTTAAAGAGTAATAGAGGTCACTTTATTTCAGCCTCCTGAATGTGTCAACCCCAGTTGATTTTGAGGACAGCACATGTAGAATGTCCCCAAATTTGGCTGTGAGAAATACACATGTATGTCTGACAAACTGGTCACAAAAGTCATGCCTCTCTCTGCTGAAATCACAAGAGCAAAGCCAAGTTCTACAGTTGTAGCTTATGAGGTAAAATGAGAAATATGCCCCATCCAGAATGTTTCAGCATAATCCAGACATTCTAGCCATCAACTGCTTATGTCTAAGGCATAAACTGCCGTAAGGGTTAAAGATACACTGTGAAGGAAGTGTGTGGGGCAGTATGTTATCAGGAAGACATTAGTGATAATCCACCTTCCTTGAGGATTCTGGGTCCACACCGTTTCTTACTAGGACCTTTTGGGTCTCTGGAGCCCTTGTGGCCAGTGACTCCACTCCTAGCCCACCATTACTTCCCATGAGCATGCTCTTGGCATTTCTACTTACATAAAAACAACCCCATGTGTTTCTAAGATGAATCTACCTATCTGTCACTCCTTCATACAGGGCTAGTTAACACCAGCTGGGGCTATAATAATGTTTTTCCAGAAAAGAACAAAATTTAGTTTTCTGAAATTACAGAGCCACATCCAACAACAGAGAAGCAGCAGATTGACACAGGCTTTATTTAAGCTGTCTGCATGAAGAAGTAATGTGTGTTCCTACCAACTGCCTGTGAGATTCTAAGGGTGGAGAGTGTACAAAGCCATTTTTTGTAGTTATTTCATATCCTAAGGGTCATATATGTAAGGAAACGAATGCCTGCAGTGTGACCAGCAATGATAATGATACAGCATCTATGTTCATATCTGTGTCTGTTCCAAACCCTTAATCAGATGACCAGATCTTGCATAGATCTAGCAGAAAAACTAGAAAGTCAAAATATGTTACAAACTACAAATCTCCAGGGAGGTGACTCGATGACCAATTCAGAGGTTTTCTTTTTATTTAAATAAATACTTTACATTTCATGCTTCCTGTAATGCACTCCCAGGAGCAAGCTTAGGGAACTGTGGTGTAGACAACAGACAGTAGCAGCAAAGTGTGTACACTGAGGTGTGGTAGAGACCCTGCAGTGAGGAGAGGAGAAGCGTGTGGTCCCTGTGACAACAGTCAGCTTGGAGAAGCTCGAGGTCGGGTACGGGAATGGAAACGATACTGGAATAATGCTATGTCGTTAGTGTAGAGAGCAAAGCTGTGAGCAACCCTGCAAGCAATCCGAGCAGAAGTGTCAGTGTCCTCCAGACAGCCCTACATGATGACAAGCGGTCAAGCTGGAATCACAAGGCCAGAACTGCATCCAGTCACAATGATTCCAGGTTTCAAACCATTCCAGTTGTCTAAACCCTAAGCTTAGATATAGGAATCTCTTCCCCAAATCTCTCTCTTCTGTTCTACTTCTGCCATTTAACTGACATCTGGGGTTGCAAGGGAAAAATTCTCAAAATCAAAGCCAAGAACATGCCTGTTGTGACTCAGGGAGCCTGGGATGGGAAGAGAAAGCCCTCAAATGAATGGGGACCAAAGGCCAGGTGTGAGGAGTGGCCAGCCTGAGGCATTGTCAGTGCCAGTGCCCCCTCATTAATCTTTAGAAAGCAGCCTTGGCCACGGTCATGAAGTCACCTTAAGACCTGGGGAGGAGAGACAGAACAAAAGAAGCTGTGTGCTTAGTGTACAGTGTCTGCTCCCTCCGAGGGATAAACGCTCTGAACGTCAGCCAGGCTCAGCTTGCTTTTCTTCCTCTCACGTTTCTTTCTTACAGAATGGATGCAAGAAAACTTGAAGGACATACCATCGCATCTACTTCCCGTCAGTGTGAGACAGTCAACATCTCATCTACTTCCCGTCAGTGTGAGACAGTCAACATCTCATCTACTTCCTGTCAGTGTGAGACAGTCAACATCTCATCTACTCCCTGTCAGTGTGAGACAGTCAACATCTCATCTACTCCCTGTCAGTGTGAGACAGTCAACACAATAACAAGTAGGAAAAAAGAAGACTCCAGATGCCAGAATGAACATCTGTTTACTTTAACTTCCTACTCCATACTAAGGATAAACTCACTCAGGTAGAAACATGAAAAAATTAGGACCAAAATCTATGTCTGAATCCATCTTAGCTGCCTTAGTAAATGCCCTTTAAACCCCAGCAGTCCCAGTGGCCAGCCACTGCCAGCAGCGGCTCTGCTTCCCTAAGTCTGAGCCTAGATGCTAAGACCTCTGCATGAGAACATGACTTTCTACTCAAAAAGACAATGCAGTAACAATACTGTGTCACGCTGTAGTCTTCCATTTGGGAGCTGTCAGTTAGGAACTAGAATACATCTCCATGATCACTCCTTGGAGTAGATGCCCTCCTGCTTGCTGCAAGAAAGGCTTTGATCCTTGGACTTCATAGTCTGCTTTGGAAAATGTCAGCTCCTAGCACCAAAGGGTTTAATCTGAAGATCATCATTAATGAAGGAGAAAGATGAGGTTTGCATACATGTCCCCTCTCAGTGAGAAATGTCTGGGACTGGGAGACATGAGTATGTACAGAAAAAGAAAAGCTAGAGGTGTTTTGTTTTGTTGTTTTCCCTGATGGCTTGATTCAGTAATGAATGTACCTTGATAAGAATAAACACACCAGCTTCTTATCCTTTGCTTCCTACTGTATAAATATTTGTGATGTGTTCATTTTGCCAAGTCAAGTTTATCTCTTATCATCATTTGGGTCTCAGCTTTCTCCATGACTTTATGCCAGGCCATACTCACGCATCCACTCGAATGAACAACCATCAACATCCATTTGCTCCACCAACCCCTTGGCGCTGGGTAGTGGTCTTTTTTCATTTCGGCACCAAGGGGTTAATTACAGCATCTCTTCTCCCAAAGCCAGATTCTAACCAACAGATATTAATTCCAGAGCCTTACCCATTTTTTGTACAAAGGAGAAAAAGTGCATGATTCTAATGGGTGTGTACATTCCTTGCACATGGTTCAAAAGAAACTGCAGTCAATGTCCTGTGAGTTGGAGCTGCGTCTGCTAACATGACAATACACTTCTTATCACTAAAAAATAAATACTACTATAATATAAACAAAATCATTAAAGGACATTCAGAATTTTAACATCTGAGAAAAAGCTAATTCACCTATAACTGAAAGTAAAACTTCAAAACTGATAAGGCAAACACCTGTTCACCTTGGTGTATAGATTTAGGCGACAGCAAGATCATTATACTGTCTACATTCTTCAGCCATCAGAGGTGATAAATATCAAGAAGGGAAAAAGGTTGTCAAGCCCAGGGGCAAAATACTCTCTGGTACAATGTAGATCCTAAGACCGTCTAGGTGACTCTGCACCTTCAGTACTTGGTGGAACAACGTCCATTTGCCCATGAAGTCTGGGTGTCCATGGGCGACCCTGGGCTTCCTCCACAATATCCAGCAGGAATTAAAAACCATGTGTATCTCATCAGCCCTTCAGTCCTCTCAATGCTTCCTAAGGATTTCCAGCCAAATATCAGCAATACGCGCTTTATGCACTGGTCAGACATGCGTTGCTATACTCTTACATATGCACACCACCACCCTTCAACAATTGCTTGTTCAGAAATATAAACTACATCTTCTTAGTCTAATTAGTTCTTGATGTATCTTCTAGAAAGTTAAAAATGTACCTAGAATCAGTGTATCTCATTCAGCCTTCACTGCTAGGGAACAACAAAAACTGAAAGAAGATGACAATTGATCACAAATGAACGATGGGCTTGTGACCCCAGAGATTGTAAAATTACTTCTGAAAACTGCTGTAATAGTAAGACAGTAGCAGCAACAGCATGAGACCTTAGACTGAGATACAATTTCATGCAAAAACAAAAACTGGAGTGTCTGTGTATATGTTTTCATGTGGGGGAAAGGTGGTGAAGGTGAAGACCCTTGGCTGCTCAGGGATGTCAGAAGTGCCCCTGCTATCTGTAAGAGCGAGGACTGGTGGAGATGTCCAGTAATCATTCTCAGTGACAAAAATCTAAGATGACAGTGTAGAACAGAATGAAAGAGACTTATTCTCGTCCACTTGCAGAGTAGGAAAACTGAGGGAAATGTGGCCGCCGCTCGTTGTCCATGCAGTCCATGCCATCTTCATCATCTGTGGGCAGCAAACAGCTATTGTCATTTTTGTTTGAAGTATTATCTCTATATTATACATTATACAGACAATAAGATTTATAAACATCTCCATAAAATCTCCTTATTTTTAAAGGAAAACTACTATTTCTAAATGTGTATGATCTACAAAGAAATACTATTATAAAACTGTTTTTAAAACATCAAAATATCAAGATTCAATACTAACAGGAAAAAATGTTACTAAAAAAACAGAATTCTTTCAAGACTCATGCTTTTCAGGGATATATTAAGTTCTAAGTTTAGGTCATTAAATTCTACACAATCCACTGGGTCTTCAAAGTGCTTGTATTTTTTTTTTTCTTCCTGGTGACCTTACAGTAAGACTGCAAACTAATCTTCTTAAGTAACATTAGTTAATATCCACCATCAATTAACTCACTATACTCAATTTTCCTGTGATAAAACTTTAAACTATAATAAAGAGAACAAGATAAAAGGTGGAAAACAAAGGGCAGCATTCAAGTCCTGGTTCATCAGGAAAATGAGGGATTTTCAAGACGTGGGGGAAAGGTAGCATGTGTGAACCTGCGCTGTCTTCATCTCTATTTTCTGTATGTAAGGGCTAGGAAGGACCATGCCTCTTCCTCCCTAAATGTTCTGTGATCAGAACGGAGTCACGAGCTCTTCCCTGGGGTGAGCCCAAGCCTAGAGGGCTCCATCTAAGCCACTCCTGCTCGTCTCCATGTCCACCTGAAATCCAGATGAACAAGTTCGTATAACCCTTTAAAAACTATTTGTTTTTATTTTTATTGTGTGTGGGTGGGTGTGGGGGAGAGAGAGCACACATGCGCTTATGTGAAACACATGAGTGCAAGCTTCCTCAGTCTGGAAGTATCAGATCCCCCACATGCTGCTGTATGCTGGGTGTTTCTTGTCAATTTGATTCAAGCCAGAGTCATTTGGGAGGAGGAAATCTTCATTGATAAAATGCTTCCATCTGATTTACATAAGAAAGTCCAGTCATGATGGGTTACAAAAAAAAAAAAGGTTAAGCACTGAAATCATAGGTTGTGAGGCCCCAATTTAGGGCTAGAAACTGAACCCAGATTCCCTGTAAGAGCAGAAAGTGCTCTTAATTACGGGGACATCATCTCTCTCCAACCTTATAACCTTTTTTTTTAATAAGCAAAATATTTCTGTTTCCTAAAATCTATTAAAAAGGACTATTTCCATTTGTTTTGTTTCCCAGCCTCCCTAGGGAGCACTGATTTCATGTAATAACAGCAGAAGCAGAGGCTGTGCTGTACCCCATAAGAGGCTTTGCTTTCATCTGAAAAAAGAAAATCAACATTTTTGTTTTGTTTCTTTTTTTTCCTTTCTATATTCTCTTGTTAATGCACAAGGACCTCAGAAGTAAAACTGAATTAGCATTAACCTAAATTTTTCAGCTAAAATGTACCATAAACCATTGCTGCAGTAGATAGAAACATACCGCATATAGTTTGCATAGGACTTTATACAAATTCCCCTCTACAAACAGACCACTGCCTTGCCAGCGGCTGGGCAGCAATCCTAGGTAGTACTAAGGTAGAGGGAACCCTCTGCCTCCATAAAAATTATGGGTTCAGAAACAAGCCAATCACATGCATTTTCTAGATCAAATTTTTTAGCTGTTTAAAAGCTGAAAAAGGTTGGTGGTATCCACTGTTGAGTCACACAGCATAAAATCTCTACAAAAAAGTGAGCTGAAGTCATAATGTTCTAATCCTGACATGTGCGAAGCATGTCTGAGAAACTGTTTTCCCCGCTAAAAGCTATGTGCTCTTCTACTCCAGATGACAGGGGCTGCCCTAGCTCCTGGTTGTAACTAGACCTTGTCCTGAACCCACAAGGGTTTTGCGTGGCAAGGTATTGGTTTTGCTTGGAGAGGGAGGGAATACTGTTGGATATCCCCAGAGAATTAAGATAGCCTCCATTGTAACTTCAATAATACACACAGCAATTCTGAATAGGCACAAATCTGAATCCACAGTCTGGCTGTGAGGCCCCAACACTTAAAGCGACCTACTCCAGCTCTTGTTTGCTCCATTGCGTTAGTCACAATGAGCATAGTTCTTTGACCATGTCCGGCTGAGATAGGATGGCAGCAGTTCCCTGGGCACCTGGTCAATAGATGTGAACCTGTTCCTATTCTAGAGGACATATACTACACTGAAATGTAGTGCCTCTGACTGCACCTACGCAGCCTCAGGCACTTGCTTTTCTCAGAACATTTAACAAAGTGTAATTAGACAGTAGTAACAGTGACCAGATCTCTCTCAAAGACATTTTCCTTTTCTGTGAGAAGAAAGCATAGGACCATTGATGGATGTAATGAAAGACAACACATTCTAAAATCTGTTCGATTAATTAACACCAGTTAGGACAATCTGGCACATTGCTGCAGCTGTTTGTAGAAAATGGAACATTTTGCTGTCTTTCTTAACTGATGATTTATTCTTAAAAAATAATTTTTTTGATTAAACCAAGGTGGCAAGTAGGAAGACAACTGCTAACAAATGGCATTTCTGTGGACTTCTGAACCAAGAAAGAAAGAGAGAGAGAGAGAGAGAGAGAGAGAGAGAGAGAGAGAGAGAGAGAGAGAGAGAGAGAAAAGCCCACTCTATGTGTAATAATGCTTTGTTGCCCCCTTTCTTTTCCCATAATGGACAGCTACAATTTATGGACTGCCAAAGTTAAAGCCCTTGCCTTGGCACTTAGAACCAAGAACTTCAGTTAATAGCCACTGGCACCCCTCCCCTCCAACAGGAAGCTGGGACAGAGAGAGGCTTGGCCATCCTCTCACTTGCCTTTCCAGCCTAGAGATCATGAATGAGGCGAGAGGAGGCCAAGCTACATAGCTTCTCTAATCCTGTCAGGTCTAGGGCAGACCCTGACAGGCATGGACCACACTGGCTGCTGCACTGTACAGCAGCAGAGCAAAGCCAGACTCTACTTCTCATGCCCACACAAGTCAGGTTCCCACCTTGGGAATTATGCTAACCTAAGGGCTTTCTGTACAGTCTCAACACTCTAGAAAGGAACGCATCACCCTTCAAAGATACTGAGGAGGCTTATGCAAAATGGTCTACCCTTGTTGATGAATGGAGGTGAGGAAAGAGGTTAAAGTTAAATTCTAGAAGCAGAGCATATAAAGCATCTTCTCTCCAACATTTCAGAGGTTTTAGGAACTGAGAAATAAACATGACATCCATAGTCTACACTGGGATAGGAAGATATTGGTGTCTTACTGAAAGTATGTTGCAGGGAATCTCACAAGCCTAGCTAGGTCTGGATCTCAAAGGATCATGATGCCTCAACCTTCCAAATAACGTGCCTGGGCCTTAACACCACGCTTGACTCATGACCTGTCCCTGTTCTCAGTCTCAGCCTTATCAAGATTGTTCTTTTCTTAAACAAGTTTTGTCATTTGAGGAGTCTTTTTAAGTGTGTGAATTTAAATATGTGAATTTGAAAAAATATAAATAGGACATGGAAAGGAAGAGTCACAAGTAGATAGTTCACTTCATAAAGTTAGAAGTCACGAGCAGATAGTTCACTTCATAAAGTTAAAAGTAAAAGCCCAGTTTTAGAAGCTAGGAAATGTGAAAGCATAGACTAAAGCTGGGGAGCTTGCTTCATGTCTTGTCTGAGACGAGATGCCTCAACTGCCTGACGAATAAGCCCAGGGATTCTGGGATAATCTCTAGAGCCTGTGTTTCTCTGGAGTGTGCCTGGCAAGCCAGCTCTTAAAGGCTCTAGATGACTCCAAGCTTGAGTGGCCTGATTAACTGGTTCTTATGATCTTCATGAAAAGTCCAATATAATAAATTCCTAAGTGGAATGAGCATGAAGAAATATAAGACTAAAAGCCAGTAGCTGTAAAAACAGTTTAAAACTCTGGATAGTCTCGACCAAGTAAAATTAGAAGCTATTAAAAATACTCTTGTGGTTAGTCAGTCACTGTTTCATGAATAATTTGGCTCAGGAGTCAAGGACCAGGACATCTTGACTCCTCCTGTTTTCATGTTTATAACCCTTAACTCAGGGTAGGCATTTTCTTGGTGTGTTCAGCCACTCACTGGTGCTTCCCAGCATTTTGAACAATTGTATTGCTACATCCTATGCTGGAACCAGAGGCCAAGGCCTAGGCCCATAACTTCTACTCAGATAACCCTTAACTAATTGCCTGCAACTCCACAGGCTTTTGAACACTCTACAACTTCTTAGTGATGCTAAAAGCCTACCAAGAGCACATGTAACTTATTTTAGCACGTGGGCATCTTAAGCACTTGGCTGGTATCCCAACTGAGCTGGTGAGCCCTGCTCCTAGCTGTGTGTGACACTGGGCTCCAAAGTCTTCACTTACAAAAAGTTAAACACTTGTTGGTGAATCTAAAGGCACAAAGGACCAGAAGTGCACATATGTCCACACAGACATTTCCCCTCAGGGCATATACTCTCCTGGGTAGAGAGCCATGGAAACCAGATGAGTCCTAGTTTGTGCTTCAACAATAACATTAGTCAACCGTGACCACTATGGGAATAGTATTTTGTTTTCTTTTTCTGTCTCACAGACATTCAGTGTAACTGAGCAGTAACAATCAACAACAGAGAAAAATGTTCAAACAAAGAAAAAGTAAGGAAGAAATGCTAAAGGATGCTACATATGAATGCCTGGGATACTTTTAGCTTTCCAAACATCACCTCAAAACTCTACCCTATCCTTGTTCTTCATCAAAATCTACTTATTTATAGCATTTCTTAAGAGTACAGAGCATATTTTAATGTATATGGAACAACATGAAATGGTATATGATCACACAGCCTAATCCATTTTTAATTTAAAGTATGTGCATGAAAATAACAAACTAAACTGTGTTGAAAGATACTACTGTTTAAGGAAAACCTAGTTTTAAAAGTAACAAGTTCAAAGGACTAAGTAAGGAGGAGGCAAAAGCACTAATTCTGACAATGTGACGGAGGAAACAAGGTCTGGACTAGGGAACGCTCCCAGCAGTCAGCAGAGCACAGCTAAGACAGCAGCAAGGAAGGCGGGGTCTGTATCTCAGCCTCTAACTCTCCTCCCGGGACTGTTCACGTTCCTGCAGCTCTGCTGTTCCCTCACAGGGAGCTCCAAATTCTCAACAGAAATGGAATAAAAGTCACAGTTTGATTTAATCTTTAAAGTAGCAAATGATTCTGAAAAAGACTGTTTACAATTATTTTAGAAAGCTATCAACTGTGTAATAAACTTACTTACATTTTTCAGGTGGTGTTATTGTAATAGTTTGAGCTGTAAATTCTTCATCAAAATATCTTGTATCTGTCTCAGATGTTACTTGAGGCTTAAAAGGAGGTACAAGCTATAAGAAAAAAGAATACTGTCAATGTATTTTAATTAAGGAAACCTTACTTTTAGGATATAATTAGAGAGCAAACAATGAAACGGATGGTGACAAAGACTAGAAGGCGGAGTCACACTGTAAGGTAGACAAGGTGCTTGCCTCCCTCTGTCAATAGTCTAAAGAGAGGATAGTAAGATCTTGGCTACTCCATCAACAACTGATTATGTGAAACAGAAGAATGGGGAACTCATGAACCATGCTGAGATGAGAACACTGTAGTCTGTTATAATAATTCACTGATAGCAGGCTTAGAGAGGCTATAGTGAGGAAGTTGGCAACCAGGTGAGATGGCGGTTCTTCCTGGAACAGCGAGAATGCAATCTTGCCTGCTATCCTTTCCTTCTTTCCTAGTAACTGGCTTAATTGGTTAATATTAAAAATATAACTGATCTAGGAGTGGTGATGCACGCCTGTGATCTCAAGATTCAGAAGGCTAAGGCAGGAGGATCACATGTATGTAGTTTGGCTACATAGTGAGACCCTGTTTCAAAACGAACAAACCAACATATCAGCAAAAGTCAACGCAACACAGCTGTTCTGTAAGGCACAGACAACACTCCACCTTTATAATTTGTAAAGAATTCTGCTTTCTTGGAACAGGCATTGATGCCTACCTTTGCCATAGAATCAGAATTCTTAGCAGCCTCTGAAATTCATGAAAAACTGCATCCAAGCTTTTATTCCCTCACAAGGGCTGTGTCCCGAAGCAGTCTGAAGTAAGTATGCTAGCACTAACAGAGCTGGACTGACTTTAGTGGGTCTCAAAGCAAGAAGAGGGTGAGAAGGAAGCCTAGGGTGGCTGATCCATGCTAATCTGTACTAGTTGGAGGGAGCAAGGTGACGGGGATTCTCACTCGTCAGAACTCTGACCCCAGAGGGCAAGAGAGACATAGGCGTCTCCTTTTGAAAACAAGATGCTTAGCCCCAGACTTTGTGAGTCTCATCAGAACAAAATATAATTCTTACAAGAATAGGAAAAAGAAACAGGATAAAGAAATTAGCATGTTTTACTAAAATACTGAAGAAAAACAGTTGAACTGAGAGAAGTGTGTTGTTCTCGCTCTCGCTGCCACCAAGTCTGTTTAAAATGTTTGTTCTCAAGATCCTGCTGTGTAAAGTTGGGAACTGGGGTCTGCAAACAAAACAACAAACAAGTGAAGCAGATTTAGTGGCACAGACCTATAGCACAGCACCAACCAGGAGACAGGGGTAGGACTGTGAACCTGAGGCCATTCTGGGCTACACAGAGACCCTGTCTCAAAGAAGTAAGACTGTCTGTAAGTACAGCTTTCAAAGAGATCACAGCATTGAAGTGGCTTTAACCTGCTCCTACGTGTCTATAAAAAGAAGAAATTTGGACACTCAAGGAAATACATGAACTAAGGAAAGGTTATGTCAAACTGAGGAAAAGAACCAAATGTAAGCCTTGATCTGGGACCTGCAACAATTCCCCCCCACCTCGTTTCTTTACAAACGAGAATAAATAACAAGCCAAACCAAACCACAAGCCCTAGTCTGTGACATTTTGCCACAGTAACCCCAGCACACAACTACTGCATGAGCTTTTCTATTTTGGCCTTAAGCCAATAGTATCATATCACCTTTGTTATCTATCTATATCTCTAGGCTCCTCTTTCAAAATATTCTTGTATCAGCTGCCTCAGTGTAAACCCCTATAGAAATAATAAGCACTAATAATCAGAAACACCTACTACAAATTAGTTAGCTTTTATGTGCTAATTCAGTAAACAGCAACCATATTATTAAAGCATAAACTTGATATATTTTCCCCAACAAATACATTGTACTTCAAATAGACTTTCTTTGAAAGTTACTGTGTTCTTAGAAAATGTTGTAAATGATCAAAACAGCAGGATCAAGATTAGGCCTACTACAGTATGAATCTAGAAAAGTCCATGTGATAAAGTCCTTGATGTCAGAAACTTAATCAACTTTTAAGAGATGGGCTTAGCTTTGTCTTAGATCATATGCTCTTGAAGGTGACCACAGAGCCTCAGTTTCTCCCTTTTATTTCTCTTTCACTGGTGCCATAAGTAAGCAGCTTGTTCCACCTGTACTTCCCACCATGATGTGCCATCTGCCTTTTGATAAGTCCAACAGAAATAGGATCGGCAAGTCACATGTGGAAACTTTCAAAACTGTGAGTCAAATAAGCCTCTTTGGGGGCTGACTGTCTTGATTATTATGTTATCACAATAGACAATGTATTCAAGGCATTAAATTCAGTTGACTGAAAAGGCATGTTTAGAACTAGGTTTACTTGTATACACTCAAGTATATTCATTAAGTATTCTTCTAACAATCAAATCATACACTAACATTCACTACTTTCCTAAAATTAAATACTTATGTTTCTTTACAGTATAAATAGAGGAATACATTTGAAAGACAATTTTCTTAAACTCATGAGAATATATCAGTCCATAATTCCACTTGGGTTGGGAATACTATATGAGTATAGGACTAAGATCTTCAAAGTAAATCTCCTCAGATTTCCCTTAGCATCAAATCACTTGGGACTACCTTGTTCCTGTATGTTTAATTTTTTTGTTTGTCTTTTTCTATTTTAAGGCTGTGGTGCTTAAGAAATTGAGTAGCACCTGGCTCTTTCTATGATAGACCATGATTACAGGGTCACAGCTGCCTTAGAACCCACGGCAATCTCGATCATTATGTGCTAGTATATATGAATCAAAATACTGGGACAAAGACAACGGTACCAAAAATGTGCAGCACTTGTAGGTTCAGAATCTGCTACTGTATTTTTATCTCTTTAAAGCAATATGATATAGTAGCTAATCTTATGTAGAAATTCTGGTTAATTTGATCCCTGTTCCTCTTAAACAATTTTTGTATCACACTGAGGCAGGACCAAGGCCCTCCAACCTAGAGTGGATGGGGGGGGGTTGGGTGGGGATAAGGTGGGGAGAGGAAGGAAGGGTGAGGGAACTGGGATTGGTATGTAAAATAAAAGATTGTTTTAGAAAAATTAAAAACTCACTTTATGGTTTATACAAGTATATATACAAGTACTGGAAAAAGCAAGAATATGGAATATGTATACATAAAATGAATCCACTTATGTCATGTATTATTTAACTATGCTATACATAAAGCTCTATAATACCAATTCCTTCTTAAACATAAAACTAGAAATTTGAAATAAGTGTATCTCATTTATCTGTAACCATATATTAATTGACATTCACATGTATGACCTCAATCCTATGAAAAAGAGTATCAAGGGGCTCATGAATCTTATGAAAAAAATACCAAGGTCAAGGTCTATAAATATTCATAAGCCATAAACTAGAACCAGAAAAGTGGGTATTTTAGCTACACCAAGCATTGTATGCAAGTTGAATTCAAAGAAAGAAAACCAAAACTTAGAGCAGAAATCAATGAACTTTAAAAAAGACAATCGAGAAAATAAAGCTAAAACCTGAATTTTTTTAATTAATAAAGATGGTGAGTCTGTTTGTGTTAAATAAATGCACTTCTATCAGTTTTCTTTGCATTTTAGGTAATTCATCACACAAAGATGCTGTAATCTGGTACAAAATGTGTGTTCACTAAAGATTATACTACTGATATTTACACCTGAAACATGTCACTTGTCACACTCGATAGCTCTGTACTGATACCTACTCAGAGCCAAAACACTGCTTCCAGTTTGGACTATTCTGACACTTGGACACTAAACATGTCTATTCAGTATGTTTTTTTTCCCCAAGATTTAGTTGTAGGTGAGATTTTTTGTTGGGGGGGGGTTCGAAAGAGGGTTTCTCTGTGGCTTTGGAGCCTGTCCTGGAACTAGCTCTGTAGACCAGGCTGGCCTTGAACTCACAGAGATCCATCTGCCTCTGCCTCCCAAGTGCTGGACTTAAAGGTGTGCACTACCCCTCCTGGCTTTAGGTGAGAGGCTTTTTTGTTTAATTGATTTTTACTGAGCTCAGCATTTTTCTCTGTTCCCCTCCCTGCCTCTCCCCTCCTCTTCAACACTCTCCCAAAGTCCCCATGCTCCCAATTTACTCAGGAGATTTTGTATTTTTCTACTACCCATGTAGATTAGATCTATGTATGTCTCTCTTAGTGTCCTCACTGTTGTCAAGGTTCTCTGGGATTGTGATTTCTGGGCTGGTTTTCTTTGCTTTATGTTTAAAAACCACTTATGAGTGAGTACATGTGATAACTGTCTTTCTATGTCTGGGTTACTTCACTCAAAATGATGTTTTCTAGCTCCATCCATTTGCCTGAAAATTCAAGATGTCGTTTTCTTTTTCTGCTGTGTAGTACTCCATTCTTTGGTCAAAGGGCATTTAGGTTGTTTCTAGGTTCTGGCTATGACAAACAAAGCTGCCATGAACATAGTTGAGCACATGTCCTTGTGGCGTGATTGAGCATCCTTTGGATATATACTCAAAAATGGTATTACTGGGTCTTGAGGAAGGTTGTTTCCTAATTTTCTGAGAAATCGCCACACTGATATCCAAAGGGATTGTACCAGCTTGCCCTCCCACCAGCAATGCAGGAGTGTTCCCTTTACCCCACAACCTCTCCAGCATAAATTGTCATCAGTGTTTTTGATCTTGGTCATTCTTACAGGTGTAAGGTAGAATCTCAGAGTTGTTTTGCTTTGCATTTCTCTGATGACTAAGGATGTTAAACTTTTCCTTATGTGTCTTTCAGCCATTTTAGATTCCTCTGTTGAGAGTTCTCTGCTTAGGTCTGTATTCCATTTTTTTTATTGGATTATTTGTTCTTTTGATGACCAATTTCTTGAGTTCTTTGTGTATTTTGGAGATCAGACCTCTGCCTGATGTGGGGTTAGTTAAGATCTTTTCCCATTCTGTAGGCTGTTGTTTTGTCTTGTTGACCGTGTCCTTTGCTTTACAGAAGCTTTTCAGTTTCAGGAGGTCCCATTTATTAATTGTTTC